TTTGATCCGTTATTCCGACGCGTATCCGACCATTTCTTCGCGAGTAACGCTTTCGATATGACATCGCGCGCATCGCCTTTTTGAGCGTGATATTCTTCCATTATTTTAACGCGCAACGTATTGGGGAATGGTAACTCGTTTCTAGATACCACGCACCGAAAGTTTTCGAAACTTGTTGGGAGACTATTTAGCAGCATTACAGTTAGTAAATCCGAATTTATTTCTACGTCCATTTTAACCAACCGATCTACCGTATCCAAATATATATTGAGATGATCTTGCACGACAGCGCTGTCGTCCATTTCGTGAAATGTGATCCTCTTAAGCAGCGTCGCCTTTCTAATAGCCCGCTCGATTGATAGGTCGTCTTTAACTGTCCCACACTTTCTTTGATATGTTGCATCCTTTTAACTCTGACGGTTTTATCCGTAGTGTAATGTCTGATTTAACCTTCTGATCTTCACGCTCTCATTTGCCGCTTCTGTAGCTAATTAATTTCCCAATACGATTTTGAGTTTCACGACACTACCACACACATATCCCCAGGCGTCGTTCTTTATGAGAATCGTCTCCATTTGGATTTTTCAAATATATATCATAATTCTCTTTGCTAAGTAGTTCTATTCTGACGCTATTCGACGCAGCCATTTTGATTGTCATATCTTTGTGAATATGTGTCCTGACACTCAGTTTCGATTTTACACGCCATGTGTCCACTTTTGCATTCGCACTGAACGATGTTTCCGTGTATTACTTTCGCATCTCTGGGCCTATAACCTGTTAGGCGTAGTTGTTATTTAATAAAACGAGTTACTAAACGTTACTCGCGAAAGTTACTCACGAGTTACTAAAGAGAAATATTAAATTTATTGGAAAGATACTGTTACGTCCAAGCTCTGAAAGGAGGGATTTGACTTAATTGATGAAGCTCGGGAGAATTGATGACGCTCGGAACGATTTGTCCCCTATCTTTCTCTCTCGCAGACCAACGTTCGAGGTATCAACCTGCGAGTCGAATGCATCTTTCGTGCACAGGGTAACGGGTCAACGTCAATGACGTTATTACGCCTGCCTGCACTAGTAACGGTCGATGGTCCGTTTTTAAGTCAGAGAAGTTAATTTCTTTAATCTGGGATAGGACTTCGTGCGATCTTTCGGATGCGGGGAAGGAAGATTAATAAATGATTAAACTCGAATTAAAAAAATAAAACATTTAATTTTGAATTATGTCTAAATAAAATAATATCACGTGAACAATGGATTCATCGAAGCATAATAACATCAAAAGCATAATAATAATAATTAATAATAAAAAAAATTTTCTTTAAAGGTATACACTACGCGCGTGAATTTACAAATAAGAAAATTATAAATGCGGACAATTTGCGAAAATGAATTTATGACGATGATCGTAGTGCGATCACACGCGCGCGCGCGCGCATGTGTGTGTGTGTGTGTGTGTGTGTGTGTGTGTGTGTGTGTGTGTGTGTGTGTGTGTGTGTGTTAT